AAACGATTCAGGATGAAAAACCGGTCCCGGGGGTGGGGTCCAGACCTTTGGAGGTCGACGTTGTGAAAAAAAACGACGTCGGGGGTCTGGGAAGATCGGGGAATCGTAAGACTCGAGTACACCGGAACTCGGGTTTGCCGACGCTTTTGGACGAGGCGCGCGTCCGGGATTCTGACGGTCCAGTTTTCGTGGGATGTTTGCAGCGGGAGTTCGCGTCGAATTTCAGATTGAGCCCCGTCATTTTTGTGATGGACCCGGTCAGGCCAACCCGTCGAGTCCCCCGAACCCGAATCGAACGTCTCCTGACAAAATGGCGGCGGTTCCCCTTTCCCTTCGGGCAATTTTACTTGCACGAGGCTGGGCCGAGAAGACGTGCAAGTGAGTCCAGGCTTGCGTGAAGTCCCGATTCCTTTTCGGGCCTCGCCACGCCCCCCCCATCACCCCTCCACGCAAGTAAAGTTGCCAGAATCTGAAGAGAACGCACAATGAAGTTGCAGCATCGCGAAAAATCACGACAGAGCCCTAGACCCCCTTGTTCTGCTTCATCCGGAAGCCAAATCGACCTGTGAGGGTCCCTGGGCCCGAAGGGGGGCGGCTCGGGCGTTCGAGGTTCGAGGTTGTCGGCGGTTTCGTTACTTTCCGGCGACTTTCCTGCTGCATCGGGATGCGTTCCAGCAGCTGCGCTTCGCCGACAGCGCTCCAGGGGTGCACGGGTCGTCCCGAACGGCCGCTGGAGGGCATAGTCATGGGCCGAAAACCACTGGGGACGGGTGTAGGCTCAGGAGGGGGCCGATGCCAGCTCGATGTTTCCCCCGCTGGGCCAGTCCACCTGCATCTTCGTCCTTCACATCGCAGTATGAGGGAAATCCTGGAGGCCTCGCGCGGCGCGTAACAGTTGTATTATCTAGTCCAGGCATCAGTTCCGTAAGCTACGGGTCGACGCTCGCGCGGCGATGCTCCGGCACCAGTCCGACGCCAATCCGACGTCGTTCCGACGCTGCCCCACGTGAACCCGACGCAAATCCGACGTGGATCGACGTAGATCGGGCTTCAAGTTGCCGCGCAGGGCCTACAGGATTTTCCTCATAAATCGCACATCCCCAGATCTCCGACGACGCGTGTTTTCCAATCCCGCCACGTTTCCCGAGTTCGGCTTCTGGGGCCCCTAACAATGACTATTACGGCGACGACGACGACGGCCGACGACCGACGACCGATGACCGGCGACGACGACGACGACGACGATGACGACGACGACGAAGAAGACAGGGAAAAATTGACCAGGCCGAGAATGATTGGGGGAGGGGTCGAGACCTCTGGGGCCGCGCACGGAAGCAGCTTCTGTTTTGGTTTGCCGCGGCGGCAACGGACGCACAGCACAGCGCGGTCGGGGCTTGCCCAGGAACATTGCCGGGCCGATGGCGCACAACCCAGACCCCTTCAAGTCATGAATGAATCACGACGGGAGGTTTTTTTAAATTCTCGGCCGCTGGGGGCCCTTACCAGGCCTCGGGGCCGTCAAAAAACGACTGAGGACGAAAAATTGGTCCCGGGGAGTCGAGACCTCTGGGGGTCGACTTTGTTGAAACATCATGACGTCGGGGGTCTGGGAAGTGGGCGGTATTCAGGCAGCAGGTGCGCCAACGAAGAAGCCAGCTCGCCGCAGGCACCCGCGGGAGAGTTCGGATCCCGCGGTGGCCCCGGAGCTCACGAAGCCCAGGGGTCCACGGGATAAGCGTGCCCCGGAAGTTCTCACAGCAGGGTGTCGTGTCGTACGCACACACCCACTGTTGGTACAAGAGCGCCGCCGCGGAGATGGAGGGAGGCGCAGTTTCGAAGAATGGGTTTAGAAATACATCATCAAATAACAGATTCATCATCTTATATATACACACACATAACATATTCATATAACAATATATACACACAAAAACAAATAACCGATCTATTGGATATTTACACACAACCCATTGTTCTCCCCCATATTTAAACGATAAAATACACCCCCCCCCCCTCCCCCCCCCCCAAAAAACTCTGATGTGTGGGCCCGTGCCCTCGTTGTCTGGACACCGAGGCGCGGCCTGGCGGGTGCACGACGGTGTGAAACAAGACCGAGGGCGCACGCCCCAAGCGCGTGTGGGGGCCAGGGTCTCCGTGAAGAGGTTCGCCCCGCACCCGCGGGTTTGCGGCCTAGGAGGCTGGCCCCACGAGGCCGCGGATGTGGGTCGGCGGTCCTCTCGTAGCGTGTCTTGGCCCAGCCTGCGCTTGCGGTGGAGGAGGAGGAGGAGGAGGAGGAGGAGGAGGAGAAGGAGGAGGATCAGGAGGAGAATGGAGAATGGAGAATGGAGAATGGAGAATGGAGGAGGAGGAGGAGGAGGAGGAGGAGGAGGAGGAGAAGGAGGAGGAGGAGGAGGAGGAGGAGAATGGAGAAGGAGGAGGAGGAAGAGGAGGAGTAGTGTCGCCCAGCGGCGACCCCGCCGCGGGCGTTCAAGGTTGAGCGCCGCCAGCGGCCCAGAATCGGCCCACATGGAACGATCGGACGATCGAAGAGCCGCCGACCGTGCAAGGTTGAACGATCCGCGCGGTGTCAGAAGCCAACGCCGAGGTCGTTACGACACGAACCTGCCGTACCTCAGACATCCAACGCAGCATTGAAAACGACAAAGCGGAGGCTTTGCGCGATGTCCGACGTTCCGTGGGCCTTCGCTGGGCTTCGGGACCAGCCAAGAACGACTCGGGGCGAAAGGCCAGCCGTGGGGAAGGGGTCGCGGGGGCGAAGTGCCGAAAAAAGCAAGATGTCTTCTGGGACCCGCCGATAGCACGCAGCCCTGCGCCAGCCCTCACCACAGAAGCCCACATCGCGCATCGTATCGAAGAGGGCTCCGGCGGACAGCACACACCTCTGAGATCCGACGTCACGAAAAAAAAGCCGCATCGTAGAAAACAAAAAACCAAATCTCGACCGGAGCCGCGGTGGACCCCCTCGTTCTGCTGCATGTTTGGTTCGAGCTGTGCCGATCCGTGAGGGCCCTGGGGCCCGGGGCCCGAAACAGGGCAAAATCACCCGGCCTGGACAAAGTGTAGTGCCCCGATCTCAGGGCCCGCATCGCGCACCGCATCGCAACGGGCTCCACGGCGGACGGTGCGCACGCTGGCGCCGGCGAGCGCTCTGGGGATCCGCGGGTCCCAGACCCCGAAGTCGTGCCTTGCGGCCCGACGGCGCGGGCAGCTCGGGGCAGGGAGCTTCTCCCACCCGCTTCCGTGAAGTCGGGCATGTCCCCCTTGCAGGAGGAATATCCGAGAATGGTACAACAAAACAGTCTGGGGACGAGTGTCCGTGCCCCCATTGATTGTGTTTGATTATCGTTTGACTATGCTTTCACCTTTCTTCCGAAATCCCCCTCTAGGAGGATGTGCCCGACCTAACTCTGCCGCCCCCGGGGGAGTTGGCGCCCAGGTGGCGCTGCCAGGGGGTCAGGCGATCGCAAACATGGATCAAGGGGGCGCGGATTAGCGACGGGTCCCGTGTCCATGGGAAATCGCGGATTCCCGCCGCCGAGCGAGGCGGCACCGGCCGCATTTTGGGGAGGGCACCGGCCCCCGATCCATGGATTTGGCGTTAGGTCAGGCATGTCCTCCAACAGATAGAATAAAAAAAAACGTCCCATGATTATTTTTCTTACTAGTTTTGAACATTGCCCTTGCAGGGCGACAGGCCCGACTTACATTTGGCGACCGCGCGCCACAGCAGGGCGCCGCGCCGAGGGGGCTTTGCGACCGCACCGGCCCACGGGCGCGGCGCCCGCCCCCTCTGGGGGCGCCTGCCCCCACGAGTCGAGCGGGGAATCGACCGCACGGGCAGACTCGCCCCAAGACTGTCTTTGTTTCCTCCTCCCTCCTCCTCCTCCTCCTCCTCCTCCTCCTCCTCCTCCTCCTCCTCCTCCTCCTTCTCCTCCTCCTCCTCCTCATCCTCCCACTCCTCCTCTTCCTCCCTCCTCCTCCTCCTCCTCCTCCTCCTGCTCCTGCTCCTCCTCCTATTTCTCCTCCTCCTCCTTCTCCCTCTCCTCCTTCTCTGCTCCTTCTCCGAGAGCCGAGGAGAGCCGCCCGTCGCGGTCTGCCGTGAGGACAAAGTGCTCGAGCTTGGCACCGCTCGGACGTGGGCCTTTCTGCTCCTCGGCGAGGACCATATTGGACCATCGCGGGAAAGAGAGGAAAACAACAACAACAACAACAACAACAACAACAACAACAACAACAACAACAACAACAACAGCAGCAACAGCAACAGCAACAACAACAACAAGTAGTACCTTATTTTTTTTACTATACCAAAACAATACATACATAAGGAAAAGAACCACGAGAAATCAAGCAATGCATTGGGAATGCACGTCCGAGCGATGGCAAGAGAGGCCTCGCGCAGCGCGCAATAGCTGTACGATCTAGCCTGCCCCGTCAGATTTGGCACCACGTCCGCGCGGCGATGTTCCCACGCAAGTCCGACGCGAACCCGACGTAAGCCCAACGTGGCTCCGACGTAAATTGGGTCCCAAGTTGCTGCGCTGAGCATGTGCCTCATAAGGTGGTCGTTCTTTGCTTCAGCTTCACGCAAGTTTGCTTGCATGGCATTTCCCTCTCCTCCCCACCCCGCCCCCTTCCCCGCCGCCTTTTCAAGCAACGGTAGGCCGAAAAGGCGTGCAAGTGAGTCCCAGCCTGCGTGAGGCCCAGCTTCCCTTTCGGGCCTCGCCGTTTCCCGCCTCCCCCCCGCAGCGTTTTTTTTGCTCGCCCCGAGGGGTAGCCAACACGCTTGCAGCATGGAACGGACTCGCGCGAGCGGAGCACCCTCCGACCCTCTGGGGCTTGGGAAAAGAAGCCTGGATTCCCACTCCAAGGAAGTCAAGAGAACGCCGATGGCATGTAGCAACAATTCTTAGGGTTCCCGCGGACATCCCGAGGAAGTCCTCAGGAACTCCTCAGAAGCAATCCGTAAAGATCTTTGCGAGATGACTCGCCCGATCCAGCTGGGATCGACCCGGGAGAGCAGCGGGGGCATGACAGGGACGCCAGAGCTCTGTGACAATCCTCCCGTGAGCAAGCGCCGTTCTGGGGGCGCTGCCAAGGACAGCACGGGGGGAGAAGCGCTCCAAATTGAGCAGGACGCCTTTCAGTGCAAACGCCGGTGGAGGACTGCACGTGTTCAGGAGCCAGACTTCTCTGGCAAATCCGTGACTCTGGGCAGGAAGCTTCGGCCGCCAGCATCCATCGTCGATACACAGCAAGAAAGCTTTCCAGAACCCAGACCCCCGACGTGATTTTTTCACAACGTCGACCCCCAGAGGTCTGGACCCCTTCCCCGGAACCAGCGTTTCATCCTGCGTTATTTTTTCACGGTCCCGACGCCGGGCAGGGGCCCCCGGAGGCCGAAAGCAGCGAAAAATGTCCCGTCGCGATTTTTGTCACAACGCGAGGGGGTCTGGGACCCTATACATACACAGATAAATAGGTAGATAGATCGATAGATACAACTATATATATACACACACTTCTACATAAATACACACATACATACATACCTACATAAATACATACATACATACATACATACATACAGACAGACAGACAGACAGACAGACAGACACACAGACAGACACACATACATACATACATACATACATACATACATACATGCATGCATGCATGCATGCATGCATGCATGCATACAGACACATACATACATACATACATACATACATACATACATACATACACACACATACATACATACATGCATGCATGCATGCATGCATGCATGCATACATACATACATACATACATACATACATACGTACATACGTACATACGTACCTACCTACCTACCTACCTACCTACCTACCTACCTACCTACATGCATGCCTGCATGCCTGCCTGCCTGCATGCATGCATGCATGCATGCATGCATACATACATACATACATACATACATACACACATACATATGCATATACATATACATATACATGTACATGTACATGTACATGTACATGTACATGCACATGTACACAGGAAGACGGCCCCGAGGTCTGTGTTGTGGGGGTCCTCGGGCGGCTCTCTGCGCCTCCCGCCCACGAGAGGTGACCCCCGGCGAGCAGAGCCCGCTGAGCCCCGAGGCCGCCAGCCTGGAGCCCGAGGCCGCCCCGCGGAGCTCCCGGCCGGCGCTGCCCCCGCTGGGCGCCCCGAGGGCCGCCGCCGTGGCCCCGCCGCCGGACATCGACGACGACGAGCGACGACGACGACGACGAGCGAGGACGACGACGACGAGCGAGGACGACGACGAGCGAGGACGACGACGAGGACGAGCGAGGACGACGACGAGGACGACCACGACCACGACCACGACGACGACCACGACCACGACGACGACCACGACCACGACCACGACCACGACGACGACCACGACGACGACCAAGACCACGACCACGACCACGACCACGACCACGACAACCACGACGATCGCGACGACGACGACGACGACGACGACGACGACGACGACGACGACGACGACCCGACCCTCCTGGGCGGGTCGGGCGGGTGGGCCCCAACACGCGAGTCGGGCGGGCGGGCCCTAACGGGCGGGTCGGGCGCGGGAGCCCCACCGCCGTGGCCCCGCCGCCAGACGTCGAAGGAGGAAGAGCGGCACGCAGACATCACGCCGAGATGCCCAGACCTTTCCGGGCCATGAGAAGCAATTGGCGGTCGGCTGTTTGCTCTTTCGGCCTCCGGGGGCCCTCGCCGGGCACCAGGGCCGTCAAAAAGCGGCTCGGGATGACAAACCGGCCTGGGGAATGGGTCGAGACCTCCAGTGGTCGAAGTCATGAGACAGTGGCGACGTCGGGGGTATGGGTTAGGACCACTGAAGGCTCAGGAGGGGATCTAGTTGTCGGGCCGTTCCTTAGATCCAAGTCGCGCGCGCGCGCCGCGCGCCAGGAAGAGGGGTCCGAACGCCGATCTGTGGCCACCGCCGTGGCCTCGCCGCTGGACGTCGATCAAGCAGTGGCGATGCGTCCTGACCTGCCTACAAGGCCCGCCAAATACTGCTCTAAGTTGGAGCCAGCTGGGGGTCTGAGGTGGCCCAGCACTGCATCCGGCCAGCAGGAAGGGGGGGCAAGGTTCGAGGTTCTGGGTTCGGGAAGGTTTTCGCAGTTTTCAGTCTGTGATCCGAGGTGAAAACTTGCACCTGGAGGGATTTGGGGACCGATATTTAGCGGAGTTGCATTCATCCCCCCCCTCTTGGTCTATCTTCTCGGGTCTCAACAAGTTCAGAGCCCCCCAGCCGCCTCCAACCTAGAAGGCCCACCAAAGAAGATTCTAAGAAGACTTGTCATTAGAACATGCTCTGTTGAGGCAGTCTCGCTTTTTGCCCGTCGGCTCCATGTCCTAACATCATTGTTGCTGTTATGGGAACAGTATCCTGTCACAAGAGCACTTCCTTGTAAGCCCATAGGAATGATAGGGCGGCCGCTACCTGCTCGAATCGGAAAAAGAAAAAGAAGAAGCGGCGTCAGCACGAATTGTCTGGGCTCTGTGCGGCTATCCTGGAATCAAGGGGGAAAAAACACTTGGACCGGACAGGTGGCGTTTATTAAAGGGCCCTGGGCGTTCCCTAAACAGCCCTGCCCTGTTCGATTCCCTCCTTGGGCGCGTTTACTACAGGCCTCGCGTGTCGGGGTGGTTGTCCCACGGCGGCGCCTCCGGCGCCGCCGGCCACGATCGGGGGCGGGCCGGCACCGACCGAAGGATTGCACGAAGGATTGCACGAAGGGTTTTTTTGCAATCCTTTGTTTTTTTGCAATCCTTCGTTTTTTTGCAATCCTTCGTTTTTTTGCAATCCTTCGTTCGAGAAGTCCGCGCAGAGCTCCAGCGCTCCACAGCACGCAGTCACCACGCGGAGACCGGGGCCACGGAGCGCTCGGGGGCTCCGGCTCGCGGGGCCGCTCCCTCGGTCTGGGCCAGCGGGGGAGCTCCTTCGAGGCCGCGCCTGCCGCGGCCGGAGGAAGGAAAACCAAAAAACAAAAACAACAACAAAAAAAAAAAAACAACAAAAAAAAATGCGCAGCCCGCGCTGCCCATGGCAGCACGGCGACGGCGAGCACAAGCGGGCGGGGCTCCGCGCGGATCTTCTGGAGCTGCGCTGCTATAGGTCGGACGGGGCCAGCACGACGATACATCCGTTCCACAGGGTTCGGAACGCTCTCAGAGCGTTCTGGAACGCTCGGAGAAGGCCGCGGCGCCCGAACCATCCACTAAAACCGCTGGATCTCAGGGATTCTCGATTCACCCTCACCCGATTTGATCCCCTAGCGGCGCCTCTGGCGCCGCCCCCTGGCGCGCGACGCGCGCCGCCGGGGAGGGGAGGGATGCGATACCGCCGATCCACGGGAGCTCCCGCGCGAAGCTCCACAAGTTCTTATGGTCATGTTGCTTCGGGGGAGGAGGAGAAGGAGGAGGAGGAGGAGGAAAAGAAGGAAAAGGAGGAGGAGGAGGAGGAAGAGGAGGAGGAGGAAAAGGAGGAAGAGGAGGAAGAGGAGGAGGAGGAGGAAGAGGAAGAGGAGGAGGAGGAGCTTCTCCCACCAGGACAGCTGGGGTGGCGAGGGCGCGGGCCCGTGCCTCACGCCGCGCGCGGCCCCGCTGTGGCCGAGCCTGGGCCTCCAAGGCGGGGGTAGCGACGAGCAACAACGGCACCGCAGACGGGCGAACGGCGATGCGGGTGAGCACTCCCGGCGTAAGCACCGCCGGCGTAAGCTTTCGGACGCAGGCGGGCATTGCCGCCAGCCTGCGTCCGAAAACGGGGACGAACCTTGGTAGCGGTTCGACGTGGGAAGGTTCAGGACCGCCGGCCTTTCCGCCGGGCTGTGCCCTCGGATGCCGAGATTTGGCGCCGTCGCCAGCAGGAGGAGGAGGAGGAGGAGGGGGAGGAGGAGGAGGAGGAGGAGGAGGAGGAGGAGGAGGAGGAGGAGGAGGAGGAGGAGGAGGAGGATGAGGGGGAATATTCAAAAACAGTCAAAAAATAGACAGCGGATGTTTTTTTAACCATGTTTGACTATTTTCGCATACTTCGGGGTATTGTTTTTTTCGTCGTCCAAAATCCGCCTGTAGGGGGACACGCCCGACCTAAGCGTAAGCTCTGTGGTTTAAAGCATGTGGTGGAAGTTATGTTTCAGGCGATCGCAAACATGGATCAAGGGGGCGTGGATTAGCGACGGGTCCTGTTTCCATGGGCAATCGCGGATTTCCGCCGCCGAACGGGGCGGCACCAGCCGCATTTTAGGGAGGCCACTTCCCCCGATCCATAGATTTGGCGACCGCGCGCCAAGTCCATGGATCGCTAATCCATGCTCTTGCGCCCCCCGGGATGTAGGTTAGCACTGTGGGTGTAAGCAGTGTGGTTCAAAGTAAGTGGTGGAAGTTAATGTTGTGCAAGCTGTGTGGTGCAAATCCACACCGTCGCAAGCTATACGATCAAGCATCTGCAGTGCGAAGACTGTGGTGGCAACTGCGTGGTGCAAGCTATGTTGCGCAAGCCCACATCTTCTCGCGGCGATGGCCGTAGACGGGCCAACGGCGATGCAGGCAACGGCGATGTAGGTTTCAGCAGTGTGGGAGCGCGTGGCTCGCGCTTTCCTGCAATTCGCTGTGCCGTGCTCGCTCGATCCACTCGCAAGACTGGAGATGTAGGAAAGTGTCGTTCGCGATGTCCTGCAAGCTGGTTTTTGATATGGCCGGCAAGCAACATCGTCGCTAGCCTGGCCCTGGGGAGCAGCAAACAAAAGAAGCACGCACAAGCGGAGCTCCGCGCGGACCTCTCGGATCGGCGCGTTCGGGCCCCTCTCCCTCAGATCCTGGAGCTGCCGGTTTTGTTCACCACGGACGCGCCCGCCTGGAGTGTCGGGCCCCCAGGGCCCTCACAGATCGATCAGGCTCGAAAAAGGACGCAGAGCGGTGTGGTCTAGGGCTCGGATCGCGATGTGCTTCCTATGTTGCGATCTTCTGCAGTGTCCGATCTCAGGGCTTGGCGACGCCTTGCGCGCCGCGTCCCAGCGGGCGAAAACGCCTGGTGCGGAAAAATTGCAACGCCAGGGCCTCACCCTAGGCCTTCCGGATGAGGTCCGAGCAGATGGGGTCGGAGGATCGCGCCGCATCGCCGATGCATCGACGATGCGGCTCGATATGGAACCCATGTTTCCCCACGCCGGCGTCGCCGATGCATCGCCGACGTCGCCGATGCATCGCCGATGCATCGGCGATGCATTGGCGGTGATCGTTCGACCCCATCTACTCGGACCCATCCCGCAGGCCTCTGCTCACATCGTGATCTGTTCTCCTGACGTGGGCCCCCAGTGGTCTGGACCCCTTGCTGGCGACCGCCTGTCCCTCCTGAGCCGTTTCTCGACGGCCCCGGGGCCCCGGGGCGGTCGGACCGTGGTATTAAGGTCGAGATCGGCTCGGAGAGGATGCCCTAATGTTCTTCGTGCTTGTTGGGCGTTCTTGTGCATCCTGAGGAGGGAAAGAACGCGTTTCACGGGTGCTTGCCTTGGGAACATTCGGCGGCGCGTTTCGAACCAGGGGGGGGGCCCCCCACCCCCAACACTCGGCGCCGTCGATCAAAACCAGGGGACTCCCCTCCCCCCAACCCCCCACCCTCCCGACCCCCCCCCCCTCCAGGGGGCCGAGGGAGGTTCAAAGCCCCCCCACCCCCCCTCAGCGCCGGCGCCGGCTGGCGGCGGCCAGCACGCCGGCGCTGGCGCCGCTGGCGCCGGCGCGGGGGGACGCAGCGACGATGACCACCACTACCACCACAACCACCACCACTACCACCACCACCACCGCCTCAACCCACACCACCACCACCGCCAACCCACCACACAACAACACCCACCACCACCACAGCCACCGCCACCACCACCACAACCACCACCACCACCACGACTCACCATCACCACCACCACCACCACTACCACCACCACTACCACCACCACCACCACCGCAATTTACCACGCCACCACCACCACCGCCACAACCACCACCACTACCAGCAGCGCAACCCACCACCACCACCACAAACCACCACACCACCACCACCACCGCCACCACCACCATCAGCACCACCTCCACAAACCCACCACCACCACCACAAACCACCACCACACACACCACCAAACCACCACCACCACCAACCCACCACCACCCACCACCCACCACCACACCACCACCAAACCACCACCACCACCACCACCCACCACCACAACCACCACCACCACCACCACACCACCACAACACCACCACACCACCACCACCACCACCACCACCACCACCACCGCCACCACCACCACCACAACCCACCACCACCACCACCACCACCGTCGTCCTCGTCGACGCTCCCCGCCGCCGCCGCCCGCCGCCGCAGGCGCCGGCGCGGCCCAGAACAGGAAATCGTCCTCCCCGCCGCCGCCGCCGCCAGCCGAGGAGAGAGGAGAGGTAAGGGGGGGGGGGTTGAACCCCCCCCCCCCTCCGTCACGAGGGGGGGGGGTCGAACCCCCCCCCGTCACGAGGGGGGGGGGAGGAGTTCGAACCACCCCCCCACCTCCATCCAGGGGGGGGGGGTCTGGCTCCAACCCCCCCCCCCTCCAAGCGACCACAGAACGCGCTCTTTCTGAGGAGGGTACCGTTGGATGTTCTATGTGTTTTGGCTGGCGGGGGGTCTCATGTTCTTGAAGGATGTTCTTCTGTCCTAGGTTCCGATTGTAGGGGCCTGCGGAGGCCAGAAATTATCCAGAAACCGTGCGCCGAGATTTTTGCATGGCCCGAGGGGTCTTGGGCACAGCGCCGGTTCCAGAAACCCGCGCGGACATCTCTAAGAGTGTGTGTGCTTGCAGTCAACCCGCACAGCAAGGATGAGCGACTTTCCAAGGTTACCCTTGCATCCTTGCCCCGTCGGCCCACCCCTGGCAGCGTTCGCTGGTTAGCCCCACTCGAAAAACGTCAGCATGGTTCTCCGCGGCCCTTGCACCCTTACCGCGCATCATTCCAGGCTTGACGTCGTCGTGTGCGTCCTATGGGTTGACTGCATGCCGCTGTGGTGTCTTCCAGGCCTGGCGCCGCCTGCCTGCGGCGGCGGGTCCCCCGCGGCGCGGAGCGGGGCCAAGAAGCAGGCGGAGTTCGCGGCCTCGGCCCTCGACTTCGACGACCTGGCCACGGCCAGGAAGTGCCTCCGGTTCGCGCTGCGGTCCCTGGAGGCGCCCGACGCCATCATCCTGGAGCCAGAGCCCGAGGCTCGAGGCAGCACACAAACAGTACATGTTATAGTATCACCGTTCCCTGCGCCCGCGGGGAATTCGTGCGTCGCCAGGCCCAGGGCCGACTCCTGAGACTCCGTGTGGACCTCCTTGAGAGTCTTGTGGATGGTGATGTCGCTTTGCCCAGATCCCCAGCGTCGCGGTGTTGCCAAATGGCGCGGCCCTCCAGAGGTCTGGACCACTTCCCCTGGATTGGGCTTTTCCCCAATCAGTGCTTGTACTGACGGGGCCCTAGCGGAAGTTGAAAGATTGGCGAAAGTTTCTCGCCGATTTTGGTATCAGGCTGGGTTCCCAGTTCCCAGGTTCTTGGCTACTGGTTCCGGGCCGATCTGGGTGGGTTTTGGGTTCCCGGGCTCCCGGGTTCCCGGTCGATCTCTTCAGCCATCCACTGATTGGGGCTTTTCTCTGGTGTAATTATCCCGAGTGCCCCCCGAGCTCGAACAATAGGAAAAGCCTCCCGTCATGATGCTGTTCACGACGCGAGGGCGTCGGGATCGTAGGCACAGCCACCGACCCCTTCCGCAGGGACCGTTTTTTCACCCAGGGTCCGCTTTTGATGGCCTAGGCGCCCGCTGACTGGCTCCGGGGGCAGGTCAGATCTTCGGCGATCCAGGAGGTTCGGCCATGCATGGGGTACCTGCAGGCCCCGCCCGGCTCCCCTGGCGATCGAGGGCCGAAGATCGGGAATCGAGAAGGATCGAGGAGGCTCGAGGATCGACTGGGACGTCGTCGCCGAGATCTGGGTTCTCCGACCCCACAATGTCATGATTTTTGCATGACGTCGACCCACCCACCCAGACCGGTTCTTTTCATCCTGAGGAGATCTTCCAGAGGCCGAAAATCGACTACACGTAAGGGAGACCTTCGGTGCGGGCCCCATTGGGGTCCCCCGATCACCGAGCGCGATGCGGTATTAGCGTCTTGCGCGCCCGTGTTTGGTCCCCCCACAGCCCCCCAAAAAGCCGCGCACCAAAGGTCACTCTTACAGTTAACCCGCATAGCAAGGATGGGCAACCCTCGCAAGGGTACCCTTGCATCCTTGCATCCTCGGTCCATCCTTCGCCACTTTCGTTGGCCGCGCCCCGCTCCAAAAGCTTCGAAATGGGCGTCCAAGGCCCTTGCATCCTCACCGCGCATCCTTGTGATAAGGGCTTACTGTACCCAGGGCCACTCTTGCGCGTTGTTGATTCGTGACCCGAGGGGTCTGGCTTTATGATGTTCCAAACTACTTTAGGCTTGATCACCAGAAAGACATTCGAGCACCAAAAAAGTATCGAAACTCTAAGGTTTTCACGTGTCGGGCCCTGGGAGACACTCGTCCGACACTGTTTCGACACCGGTTCGACACTGTTTCGACACTTTTCCGGGCGCTCGAAATTATTTTTGGGATGTGGCCCTTAAGCACGATGGGAGCAACATGAGTCTGGCTTTGATCCTCCCAGAAAGGTGCCCGAGGCATCCTCCGGGCCGCCCCCGGAGCGCGTCCGCCGCGAGGCGCGGCTGTGTGCGGAGCGCGCGGCGGCGAGCCTCGGCGGCGGCGACGCGGCGGAGGCGTCGAGCCGCCTGCGCGAGGCGCTGGACCTGCTCGCGGAGGCCTAGGCCGCTGCCGCGGCCAGGAGCCCTGAGACGGGGGGGTCAACGCAAGCGGGGGTCGGCCAGACCGCCCGAGCATGCAGGATCCTGCATGGCCAGGGTCGCATTGACCCGGGCGTGGGCGCAGGATCCTGCAGGATCGCTCGCACTGACCCAGGATCGGGCGCAGGATCTTTCAGGGTCTTGCAGGATTCTGTGAGGCCTGACTGACCCGGGTCTGGATTGACCTTGGTCAGTAGATCCCCGACGCGAAGGCCCCCCCCAGACATGTTCGCGTCGTGAAAGCAGCAGGCGATCGTTGTCTGACTCATTGCTTTGCCGATCGGCGCGGGCCCTCGCACGACCCCCCCCCGTGGAGTAGACCTTGGCTGTCTTCGGCGCCGCGGCTTCAGGCGGGTGGAGTCTCCCCCACAGGACGCACTGTTGCAAACAGTCGCACTAAGCAGAGGTCCAGAGCCAGACCCCCCCCCCTCCCACCCCTTCTGGTCTCTGGGAACGCGTCGAGACCTCTGGGGGTCAACGTCACGAAAAAATCACGACGTCGGGGATCTGGGAACGGGTCGGGAGGGGTCCAGGGACAGATTTGAAGGGATGCGGGGAGGGCGCGAGGGCCGCCGTTGTCTCCATTGGCACTCCTCCTGCGGGAAGGCGGCCACGGAATGAGGCCGCGCCGACAGCAGCGGCGAAGCCGTGCGTCTCCGCTGGTGCACGACAGCGTGCCCCGGCAGGCGAGAGGCCTGGTACCTAAAGGGGCCAGGAGTCACGGAGGCCTGCTCTCGAAGAAGAGAAAGCGCCACAAGCAGAAGCTGTTTCGCACTCCGCGCCGATTTATTGGATCTGCGCTAGGCCCCCACGGCGGCGCCTCCGGCGCCGCCCCGGTCGCGCTCCGCGCGCCAGGGAGGGGGCTCCAACGCGGATCCGAGAAATTCGCGAGGAGCGCCAAAAGTTTATGTTTGTGGCATGTGTTGTTCTTCTGTATGCTTATGTTTATGTTCATGGCGTTGATTATGCTTATGGCACTGTTCATGTTTATGTGTATAGCGTTGTTTCTGCTTTCTGGCGTTCTTTATGTTGATGTGTATGGCGCTCTTGGTGTTCGTGGCGCTGTCTCCTGCTCTGTGCTTGCCCTGCCATCGGCCCGCGGGGAGCGCGGGCGTCGCCAGGCAGGCGGCGCCCCGAAGGCGAGGCCCCGTAGGGTCCCCGGGGCTCCAGCGCGAGGAAGAGCGGCAGGCTGGGGGGCCGGGGGGCACCCGGGGCCCGGGTGCGCCCCCAGCCTCAAGTCGGGCGTTCCCCTCCATAAGAGGAATAGTCAAAAATAGTGTAAAAGTAGTCTGGGGGCGATTTCCTTGATGATCTTTACTATCGTGAATGTTTCGTCGGAAATCCGCCTGGGGCACCTGGGGCACCCGGGGCCAGGGTACGCCCCCAGCATCAGCTGCCTCGATACGCCCGCTTCGAAGCGCAACACGTACCGTGCTCAGAACGTTCGTGCCAATGCGCTGCGTGTTGGCCCGGCGTATTGCCCCGAGGGCCCCCGGGGCTCCGGAGCGCAGAAGAGCGGCAGGTGGGGGGGGGCACCGGGGGCCAGGGACACCCCCGGCCTTAAGTCGGGCGTGTCCTTCTACAGGAGGAATGTTCAACAATAGATGAACAATTCTATGGGGACGATGTTTTGACTATTTTTGATTTGTTGGGGTGTATTTGTTGACTGTTTTGAATTTTTGTTGTCCAAAACCGCCTGTGGGAGGACGTGCCCGACCTAACCCCAGCACCCCTCGAAGGAGTGGGGAGGCAGAGGCAGACGGTGCAAAGGTAAGGGGGCGGCGCGATTGGTCAAGCAGAGGCGAGACGTCCCGGTTTGCCTGCAGGCCCACCAAAGGAATATTCGAAGAGCCTTTTGTGGTTCGCGCGACATGTTCTTAGAGCATTTCTGGCTGGGGCTGTGTTGTTTTAACGCATCGGGCGGATGTTATAAGAACAGTGTTTTCGTTCGTAGAACATGCTTGGGTTCTAAGAACATGTCGTGGTTGGCTTGCAAGAATGCCGGGACGGTCGGTCGCTGCTCAGGCTGGGGAGGAGGGGCGTCTCAAATTCTCAAGAGTCTCAGAATTCCAAAACGCGTCGGCAAGCAAAGCAAGCACGCCCACGACAAAAACAGCAACTACGTGTTCAAGTTTGGGCCATTACAAAAGTCTCACCATCTTTATTGACAGCAGCAGCAGCAACAAAGACAACAACAACAACAACAACAACAACAACAACAACAACAACAACAATAACAATAACAACTACAACCACAACAACCACAACAACAACGACAATCCGCACCGCAGAACCTCACTTCAGCCACACGCCCAGGAACCAGTGACTGACCTTTCGGCCTCCACGCTCCTGATATAGCACGCGGAACGCGTAAGCATCTGTCTAGCACGGGAGACGTTTGAAATGCGGTTCTCTTCAGTTTGAGCGACGCAACTATCCCGTCAAAGCAACCTAACAGCGATGTGTAGAACCATATTTGGAAGCATTCCCCTTAAAATTTAGGTGAGAATCCAGTTGTAGAATTCTGCTGTTCTCGCAGTCGCAGCCTCAGCCTGCCTCGGCTTGCCTCGGCCTCAGCATCAGCCTGCCTCGGCCTCAGCCTCAGCCTCAGCCTGCCTCAGCCTCAGCCTCAGCCTGCCTCAGCCTCAGCCTGCATCAGCCTCAGCCTCAGCCTGCCTCAGCCTCAGCCTGCCTCAGCCTCAGCCTCAGCCTGCCTCAGCCTCAGCCTCAGCCTCAGCCTGCCTCGGCCTCAGCCTGCCTCAGCCTCAGCCTGCCTCAGCAGCCTCAGCCTCAGCCTCAGCCTCAGCCTGCCTCAGCCTCAGCCTCAGCCTCAGCCTGCCTGCCTCAGCCTCAGCCTCAGCCTCAGCCTGCCTCAGCCTCAGCCTGCCTCAGCCTCAGCCTCAGCCTGCCTCAGCCTCAGCCTGCCTCAGCCTCAGCCTGCCTCAGCCTTGCCTCAGCCTCAGCCACAGCCTCAGCCTCAGCCTCAGCCTGCCTCAGCTTCAGCCTCAGCCTCAGCCTGCCTGGGCTTGCCTCGGCCTCAGCCTCAGCCTGCCTCGGCCTCAGCCTCAGCCTCAGCCTGCCTCAGCCTCAGCCTCAGCCTGCCTCAGCCTCAGCCTCAGCCTGCCTCAGCCTCCTCAGCCTCAGCCAGCCTCAGCCTCAGCCTCAGCCTGCCTCAGCTCAGCCTCAGCCTCAGCCTCAGCCTCAGCCTGCCTCAGCAGCCTCAGCCTCAGCCTCAGCCTGCCTCAGCATCAGCCTGCCTCAGCCTCAGCCTGCCTCTGCCTCAGCCTCAGCCTGCCAGCCTCAGCCTCAGCTGCCTCAGCCTCGGCCTCAGCCTCAGCCTGCCTCAGCCTCAGCCTGCAGCCTCAGCCTGCCTGCCTCAGCCTCAGCCTCAGGCCTCAGCCTTCAGCCTCAGCCCTCAGCCTCAGCCTGCATCAGCCTCAGCCTCAGCCTCAGCCTGCCTCAGGCTCAGTCTCAGCCTGCCTCAGACTCAGCCTGCCTCAGCCTCAGCCTCACAGTTCGCTCCGGGCAATCAAAATGTAGCCTGGGAATGGTGTTCTGGGAGCCCGAAGAACACGAAGTGGCCTACAGTTGGCTCCGGGCATTCAAAATGTGGCCCGGGAATGGTGTTCTGGGAACACGAAGAACACGAAGTGGCCTACAGTTGGCTCCGGGCATTCAAAATCTGGCCCGGGAATGGTGTTCTGGGAACACGAAGAACACGAAGTGGCCTACAGTTGGCTCCGGGCATTCAAAATCATGCCCAGGAATGGAGTTCTGGGAACTCGAAGACCACGAATTGCGTTCCTGTTTGCTTAAAACGAATTCCCCGGCATCCCCCCGGCATCCCCCCGGATCGCGCCCAGACCCCCTTGGGGCGTCATGATGCTCTCTTTTGACCCTACTAGAAACCTACCAGTCTTCGCTGTGAGGTAACAAAAAAAGGTCGATTGCGCCGACATTGGCGCGTAAGCTGCCCGCGTCGCCCACTTGCTTCGTGCAATCCACTGGGGCCGGCTGGAGGCCCGAGGTGGCCCCGCAGTGGTCCTGGCCCGCAGGAAGCAGGGGAGGAGGCTCGAGGTTCCTTGGGTTCGAGAGGGAGTTTTGCCTTTTTCTGCCTCCAGGGGCCGTTTCTGGGCCCTGGGACCGTCAAGACGATTCCGTGGCGCAGGGCTGCGCCAGGTGGCTCCCAGGAGGGGTCCGGTGACCAATGTTGAGCGGAGTCGGTGTCGTCTCTCATCCTTGTTTCTGTGGCCCCACCCAGTTCAGGCACCTCGGCCGACCCCAAGGTTTCCATTTTTACTGTTGCGCGCTGCTCTAGGCGGCTGTCTTATCCCGAGAGTGTCACACTCGTGCATGGAATTCGGCACTGGCTGTGGGGCCTTCGTAGGAAAGCTGGGAGCCACTTTTATCTTCCGAATCAGGGACAATGCTCCTAGAATTGCTGGGGTGACGGCAGCGGCTAAGCGAGGAGGATTTGTAGTTGAGTTCCGAGTTGCGACAGGAGTGACAGGACTCTTTCGCGAGTGTGCCAATGCAAAAAAAAGGCTCTAACCGAAAGCTTCCCGAAATATCGGCGACAGTTGATCAACAATTCTGCAAGGCCGATAGAAGTAAAAGTTGCTAGTTTGCAGCACCAAATTGTTAGACTACACGTCAGTTGACTTCGCTCCACAGGTGTGATGAAGCAATGGCGAAGTTGAGCCTACAGCGAACACGGGGTCAGACGAGCTGATACAAAGTCCCTCGAGGTGGCAAATTGGCTGAAACCGAGTTCTTATTGAGAAAGCAGGAGGTGAGAGCTTGATACGTTTGCCGCGCCATGGGTCTCATTCACGAGCGCAAGTATGCATAAACCGGTGCCGTGGCAGAACCAAGGCAGTAACAAGCCAAGGCGCCTACACCGTAAAATGTTGCCGAGGTAGTGCGACATAGGCCGAGAGAAGGTGCAACCCACGCGGCCCAAGAGATGGTATTTGTGTTGGGATTCTGGGCTTCCCGAATCCGCCGTATACCTGGCGCGGTCTGGGCCACAGAGCTGCTCGCCTCAGGGGGGGAAGGAGGTGGAAGGGGCGTCTCGAGAGCGCGAAGATCACGGCGCAAGCCACAGCGCCGCAAGGAAAAGCGGTGCCGTTTGCGCCGGCATTGGCGTTTTAAGCGTCCCGCGTAAGGTCGCGCGTGAGCGCCCTCGTTCCCGACGTGGCGTGCCCCGCAGGCGGCCCGCGCGAGTCGCCGCGTCAGGCCGCTGTGCCATCTCGCGCAAGACCCATTTTTCTCTTCGTCGCCCAGGTGGCCTACTTCCCTCGAGGTCCGCAGAGCTTTCTGGAGGTCCTCCTCCTCCTCCTCCTTTCCTCTCTTCCTCGAACGCCTTCGAAATCAGAGATCTTGAGAACATCGAAAACGCTCAGAACAACCAAAACATGAGTTCAGAAGAAGGTTGCCCCCCCTTATCCCCCGAAGTTCTCCCGAAATCATAGTTTGCTTGTTTTTGGTTGTGTTTGATGTTGGTTATTCTAAGCGTTGTCGAATGGTTTTCGGTATGTTGCTGATTTTTCCTAGGTTTTCCAAGGCGTTCGCGGAGAAGGAGGAGGAGCAGGAGGAGCAGGAGGAGCAGGAGGAGGAGGAGAAGGAGGAGGGGAGGAGAAGGCAAGCTAGGTGCGCTCGCGTCATATTTGACGTCCTCCCCCTCCCCCCCATCCCTTACCATGGCGTAGATCTTTTCTATATTCGCACAGTCGGATGTCGAGCAGGGCAATGATCGCGAGAGGGCGCGCGATGCATCGT